CCCAGGATATTTATGTACATGTAACTGGTGAAATTTGTGCCATAAATTGTTGACTTGCTATCTTTGATTTGGACAGGGGAGGATAGAAACTAAGTTGGCACAGGAGGCAGATAAAAAGGCAAGCCAGGATATCTTTAAAGCTAGGTCTGTGCATGAAATAATTCATTACTTTTCCAACTCTACATTTATTGTTGTATATCGACCATGATTTGCTAGTATTCTGCAGAAACAAGGGCATAACGAATGTCTTGACAATTGATTTGCATGGGCAACATGTCAAACAAGCAATGAGGCTTTTGAAACTTCATCTTCTATTTGGAACATATGTGCGCTGTAAGCATCTTCCTGTACTTCCTTATTTCTATGCAGACTTACCTCGATATTCAATTTTGCTGTTTGTGATTAACATGTGTGGTCTGGTCCCAGCAATTCAAACTCTCAGAGTAATCACAGGATGTGGGAGTCGTGGTCTGGGAAAGTCAAAAGTCAAACAAGCGGTATGGACTCCTACCATCCCACTTCCAGTTAATTTGCTATCTTACATTGGAAAGTTAGTTAATTGTTTTTACAAGGTTTGACGTTCTGAACTGTGGCAATGAATTACAAAACGAAATCCATGTCCTATTGTCTTGTATTAGCTAAATTTGAATAGGATGACTCAGTGTCAGGAAAAGTAAGAGGGCCTTTCTCTAGGGTTTGTGGGAATATTCCCATATTAGTTTGGCTCCTGATTAGTGTAGTAGCAATTGCCTTGTTTATTCTGTAACATGATGGGTTAGCCTTTGTAATTCTCATGTTGATTTGTCACATGGGAAAAACAGTGTACTGCTTTACCTCTGTAGTTTTCTTCTTTCATCTTTGACAACATTTGACTTTGGGAAAAATTGAGATGGAAGAACTGAAAAGAGTTTCTGACATGCAAAAGCTACCTGCTGAATCATCTAGGTCTCCTGCATTGACAATATACTGTACTTTTCTGTTTAATGAATGTAGGTCACAAGACTCCTGGAGAATGAAGGTATTGAATGGAGTGAAGAAAACCAAGGAGTGTTGTTAATCAAGATTGATGGATACAAAGAGTATAGCTTTCCAGATATAGATAGCGATACTGACTAATTGTATCCCAAGCTAAGCAGTCGAGCACACATCAGGTTTTCTCGTTATATTGGTTAACAATCAAAAGGGATTCACGGATCAGGTACTGTAAAATCTTAAAGAATAGGTTTCAGATGTTAATATCCATGCAGTAGCTCCGTTCCTTTATGGAGGTAGGTGGAAAGATGAGCTAGACTAGGTTGCACCTAAGCTCTGGTAGATTAAGCTCCTCTTTGTGTTCTGAACTTGTATTGAACCCTCCCTTTCTAACTGTCATTGGTAGATTATGCTCAGGGATTGTAAGTCATAAAGTGACCAGATTACTTCTTCTTGTTTAATAGAGTTATTGGAATTTCACAAAACAATCTTCTGTCTTCCAAGCTTGATTTGCATTGCATCACTCAGAATTTTTCTGTTGCTGTTCTGTAAAGCCTAGGCTGTGTAATTGGGAAAGTAATGAATTAGTCCATGGTTGTGTTTCTGAGTCGTTTCCAACCATTCTGAACTTGTAATTATTTTCTTTACCCTCCAACAATATTAACGGTGCAGGTTACCATCTGGGCACAACCAATTGAAGATCCGTGATCTTACAACATGAAACATGACGTATCTTCAGAATCCAGCATCAAGGGAATTACGAGGTAATAGAGTGACAAATCCATTACATTGTCAGAATTTCAAGATTATCAAGAGGGTAATTGTTAATTTGTTAGGAGTGAGATTAGGATGGAGCAGAATATTTAGGAAGACTTCACGACGACTGCAGTTCCTCAACCGTTGACACGTTTCCTTGTATTTTTTTGTTTTTTTTGTCTGTTCACTTCCTTTCCCGAAACAAAACAAGACTTGAGTCTCCATCTCCCAAGTTGTTGGGTTTAGGTCCTTTATCAAGAAGCAGGCTTTGAGCATGTTCCAACTTCGCTGATCGAAGCCCATCATGGCATCATCAGACTCTCAGAATTGACTCTTCTTTTCTTGTCCAGCACTTTTTGACATCAAACGCCGCCGTCCCACTATAATTTGATGCTGAAGGATTCCAAGTCATCGCCTGTCTCAAGGTGCGTGTCCTGTCGCGCCTAAAGCTCCGAAAATCAATCGACGAGAGAGAGATATTTATTTGTTTATCTGAACGAGAAGATATTTGTTATTTTCACATCATTAAAATCACCCAGTCGGCCCAATAAGGCAGATCAGCGCTAAAGCGAAAACTGAGAAGCGCACCTCTTTTCATCTGTTTGTTGAAAAATAACCATCCACCATACACCACCAGCCTATCAATGGTCCTTTGACAGGCCAACCAAGACTCACCAAATGGCAAGAACCAATCGTTTCCAAAAACATGACTGGGTTGTAAAATTCTTCAACAACCACGGACCGCCATTACCACAAGAAATAAAATCTTTGTTTGAGCATCTTCAGAAGTCCCCGCTTCACCACAAGAAATAAAATCAAGCTTAATTTTCGTTATTTCTGCTGAATAAAACAGAACCTGAGTGACGAAATCGAGAGAGAGAGAGAGAGAAGCTAAACTCACATATGAAGCGTTGAAAAAGCTTGAATCACCATCACTGGTGGAGGAAGAAGAAGATCCAAGCATGAACAACACAACCGTTACAGCTTCACCAAAACCAAACAAAAAGCGAATAAAAAACGACAGAGGAGGAGCAAAGAAGGAAGAAGAGTGTGACGCGGAGGCGTGGGATACCCTGAGCAAGAGTTTCAAGCAGGTGCAGAGCGTACTGGATCACAACAGTGACTTGATTAAACAAGTGAACGCGAATCACCAGTCGAAGATTCCAGATAATCTCGTTAAAAACGTTTCATTAATTCGCGAGATTAATGGAAATATCACCAAGGTAATGTCGATTTACTCCGATTTATCATTCAATGTCTCCAACATTGTCGAGGAACGGCGTCGCCTTAAGAATGGAGGAGAAAGCAATATGGAAGCGCTAGCAACGAGTCTTGAAATGAAGTCAAATCAAATCAAATGATCAATCAGTTAAAGTAATCTCGATCATCTTTGCTTAATCAATCATGCTTAGTCAGTCAATTAATAATGAACTCTTTTGAGGTCTGTCGTGTTTGTATTGTTTTGTGTCCTGGTAGTTGGTTGTGGTGGAGATGGAGACGGAGGTCAGGCGTTGATAATGATGGTTATGCATGCTTATACGCTGTTTGTTGTTATGTTTTATAAGGATGCTGATTTCAAGCCTGCGGGACTGTGGTTTACTGCATTGTATGCAGACGTAATAAGGTATTTATGCTCTGTTTATTTTTATTTTATTTTATTTTTTGTTTTACTTTCTCTTTTGCTATATTTGCTTGCAAACCTCTTAACAGAGGCTGATGGAAAGACTATTCAGTATACTATTGTGATTGTTTGAGCATCTTCAGAAGTCCCCGCTGTTGTAACTCGGGTGTTTGCAAAGACTATTCAGGCCTAAACTTGGTAGGATCGAGTGAACTGAAAAATCTTTGACTTTGCTTTTGGTGGACAGTGCTGCTGTAATCATCTCTGCTACCGTCACTGTCTTTCCATATGATTACTCTGTGGATGGTAATATGGGTGTTGAACATGGATTAGGAGAACGATCAAGTTATTAACTCTGGTTTAGACATTCACAACAGTCTGTTGATTTGGCCTCTGCTTTTAGATGGGCTCTTGGCTTGCCTTCTGGGTAAATTCGGCAGTCATCATCAGAGGCTAGGTCCATGCTGGTCAACTTAATGAAAAAAATCATTCATGTCAAGGCTGATCGATCCGCGGTTCCATGTGTTGTCACTGTATGTGAAAAACAGCAAACAGCAAACCCCCTTTTCCAAAACCTTATTCTTCGATGGGTTAATCAATTCTTTCATCTTATTTCCTTGGGTGTTAGTTCTCAACAACTGTACTTTCCCTAACAAAATCTCTGGCCATAGGATAGCTCCATAAATACTCCGAAGAGCGTCTTTTCCTTTATCGACCACTATAGTGAGTTGTTTATTATTTATGTATTTGGAACTCAGGAAATGGTTCATCTATGACGAAAAATTCTAGATGAAATTTACAGTAGAATCACTGGGAATGGGAAGATGTACCAGTTTTGTTTTCTGTTGTTGAAATAGACATGGATGGAGGAGCAAGAGAGACGAAATGTGAACTGTCGACATAACACAGGTTATCAACAACTGGTTCTGAAGGCAGTTAAAGATGACGTTTTCAATGTAAATCTAGGGTTGAGGTTAAAGGGTCGTAGTTACAATATTCTTCTTATCAGTAGTTAAGCAATCCATTATCTTATTGTTTTTTGATGCTCGAGTAAGGTAAACTCGTTTCAGGATGTGGACTAATGACATGAATTTGGTCAAGTGGACAGTTCAACTTCGGGAGAAGGAAGAAAACACGGATTTAACTTCTGACTGCCTTTTGTCAGTGTGTAAAAAAATACTGGAATAGTTGAGCAGTCAGGGCTACGTAAAGTCATGGGTGCTATTGATTTTTTATTGATAGGCTGGACCACAGCTGATCACACTGTAGATGCCGATCCCCTAATATTTGCATATTATAATAAAAAAAAATAAAAATAAAACGAACGGATATAATTTCATATATGAAAATTAACAACTAACTTTAGATTTAGCCATGGTTATTTTTGCATTTAAAAAATACAAAAACAAGTTTCATTTAAAGCAAAACAATACAAAAACATATTTAAAAAATACAAAAACAATACAAAAACAAGTTTCATTTAAAGCAAAACAATACAAAAACAAGTTTCATTATATATATATTATAATTCATTTTCACATTAACAAATCAAATCAATACAAAAACACAAAAACAATTCATTTAAAGCAAAACAAGTTTCAAAAATTTGCAAATCTACAGTTAAACAGCAGGGCTAAATACCCCCACTAAGTCATAAATCTGTGTCTGATTGGATTAAAAATTATATAAATTTAACTAACCCAACATCTTCGGCACTTCGATGCCGTGCGCCAAATAACAATCCATCACTAGTATTTCAGATGCATTTGGTACATCACATAGTTCTTACGTGAAAGCATTTCATAAAGGCCACTTAAAACATCTCTAAAATATCAGAGCGCAGTTTATCTCACCTTATGCAGTCTTCTGCTACATCATGTGAAAAGAACACCCATTATCACCGGACATGCTGGTTTAGGTGGGGGAGGAAGGGAAATCACGGACACTTACAAAGGGAGTTCACCACTGTCCGCGACAACAACCTTGCTCTTGGGTGTGCCATTTTGCCTGCCTTCAGCTTCAACCTTGTAAACCACATCCATTCCAGATATGACCTTACCAAACACAACATGTCTGCCATCCAACCTGTACATGGTTTGATCATTCAGCAGTACAGACAATTCAGTATTTGATCAGAGCATTGCAGCTGTATCTCACACCAAATGTTCAAAACATAAACATGTCATTACCAGCTAGTTGTCACTGTTGTGATGAAAAACTGTGAGCCATTTGTATCAGAACCAGCGTTTGCCATTGATAAAATTCCTGTACAAAAATAGATCATGTTTATCACGCAACCAGGAGGCTGTTTATCAAAACTACCGAACATTTCACCTACCAGGTCCGGTATGCTTCAACTTGAAATTCTCATCCGCAAACTTCTCCCCGTAAATTGATTCTCCCCCTCTACCATCACCAAGTGTAAAATCACCTCCCTGGATCATAAAGCTGGGAATAATCCTGTGGAATGCACTCCCCTTGTAGTGAAGAGGTTTCCCACTCTTTCCAACACCCTTTTCTCCTGCGACAAAGAATCATGGTGCGGCATGAACCTAGCTTTTTACAATTCAGTTGCAAGAGGCTAAGATCATGTGGTCATTTTATGAAAACGAACCACAATAAAAAACTAATTGTTTTCTATTTCTTCTAAAAAAGGCCCAACACATAAAGCCACTTTTATTGTTCTCTCTAGGGCTTTCAAGAATTTCCGAGGTCAGCAGTCCAGATATTCATCACCAATAAGACGAAATGAAAATGGCAGAAATGTTATATGTTCTGTAAAAAGCAAACCCAAGTACTTTGAAAATAGAAAAACGATACAAGGGAGATAGGAAATAATTCATCTATAGAAACGTGTGGATAATTGAAGATGCTTAGTTTAGCAGCTTACCAGTGCACAGCGCCCGGAAATTTTCTGCAAATTGGAAGCATCAACTAATTAACAACATTCTGAATCAAGATCAACAACAATCAAGGAACCAAAAATACCACCACGTATAAGATTATACCTACGGTCTTTGGAACTGTCTTGCCAAATAGTCCGATGGTAATGCGACCTGAGAATAGATGTCATGTTTTAGTGCCCAATATTTGAGAACAAAGCAATGCAAAACAGAGAAATTTATACAGCATGTTGCTTCCACTGCAGAGTTCAACAGTTACAATAACTCCTATAATTTCAAATCGTTCCCTAAATGAATGAGAAAGTTAGTTATTTCCAACTATATTGTCCTTAGATCCAGAATGTAGCAGCACAAGAATTATCTCACACAGTCTGTTTGAAAGCCAGAACACGACAGCATGCATAAACAGAGCAAATGGGTCACAGAGGCATCTAGCAACTTCTTCATCGAAATACCCAATTGCTTCTTTTCTTTTAATATAATCCAAACAAAGAACATACCAGCTGGTTTTCCATCAATCTCAACATCAAAGTAAACTTTATGGGTAATCTCCTTCAAATCTTCCTTCGACTTCTTCGCCTGAAAAAGGTTACTCAGATTTTCAGCGTTATAACCACAATTTTCACCAATCAATGCAATCTTCCAGTCAACGATTAAAACACAGAAAATCAGAACAAAATCTCTTAATATTTGCCTCGATCTAATAGAACCATTATAGCCGACGGACCCAGATAATTATTAATCAACATAACTGATCTTAGGTTACCTGGATGAGAGTCAGGGTTCCGAAAAGGACTAAAGTCCACAGCGCTGTAACAGCCAACGAACCCGATCTTGCCATCTCTGCTTCAGGGTTTTTTTTGCTAGTGACAGTGAGAAGCTGCAGAGAGGATCCCTTATTTTTCTTAATACAGGAAGGGAGTGGCATGGTCCAATGGAATTGTGCCGCGTGGCTAGATGGATATTTTAGTCGAACCCTATTGGTTGATAAACGTGGAGTTTCCAGGGCCCTTCCTGGCTCAAAAAAAGGCCGGCATTTGGTGGGCTATGGTTTTATGATTTGTACTTCGATCTTTCTAGGCCTTCATCCTCGAGTACCTGGTGGGTTGATGTTTTAGGATATGATTCTTTTCAAATTTAAAATATCATCCAGTACTTTTTTATATTAAGATAAATAATAAAAATTAAATAAACGTAATAATTTATGTAAATTTAATTAATTGAAATGTAAACTATGAAATTATATATATAAGAAATAGACATCATGTTATCTAAGTTTGTTTTTCAATAACACAGCAATCATCTCTTTTTTTTTTTCTCTTTTGAATTTAATTATCACTGTTCATATATATACTAATTAAGTATATAGTTTTTTTACTCTATTTATAATAAATATCGTGTCTATTGTTATGATAATTACATAAAAATAAATGTAAAATTATAATATTAATGTTTTTATTTAAAATACCTCTCGTGTAAAGATATGATTATTTATTAATTATGTCATTTCACTAGTTCACATTATTTTGAAATAAAATAGAAGAATATAAATAAAGTTAATTACCCCCACCATCCTCTATTTTAGAAGCCACCTAGAATATATATATATATATATATATATATATATATATATATATATCAAAATTACCCTTGTACACATCTCAAGCTAGCTCCCCTTGGAAACCCTTACAAATCGGTTCAGTATCTTTGGTTCGCAACATTTGGACCTGTTTATTTATTTATTTTTATGAAAATTTAACTTGTTTTAATTTTTTAAATTGTTTTAATTCGTTGATATTAAAAATAAATTTTAGAAAATAAAAAAATATTATTTTAATATATTTTAAAAAAAATGAAAACCGAACACCCTTACAATTCCTGCTCTGACATTTTGTCTCACCAAAAAGCACGAAATTGCCAAACGAGGAAAGAGAGACATTTTCGCGACTACTCTTGTTGCCTTCCTTTATCAGCTGGCATTCGTTTAGTGTTTGACAAGTAAGCATTTCAACGAACCGTCACTGGGACAGTACATATTTGCAAGCACTTAATATTGACCACCATTTCTCGAGCAGAAGAAGAGAAGAGTTGGAGTGCGACTGTACCCAAGTGGGTTCTCCCATATCCACCGCCGACTTGCCAGTTTCTCCTTCCAAGTTTGTGCTATTTTTAGAGGGATTAGTCTATGGTATACGCTTTCACATTTGCTAAAAGATTTGGTTCTCTTGACAAATAATCCAAGGTTCTTTACTGCATGTTGAAGGAGAACTCATGGCTGGTCTTTGATTATGGTCTTTTAGATGGAAATTTATTTATATTTTAAACAACAATAGTTACTTTTTACGCATATTGCATACTCTACACTCTAAATGCTTGGTAGAATTCTTTAGGTTACGCGATCAGGCATGTTCATTTATGCGAGACATTCTGAATTTCTATGTTTTAAGTTGCTCGCTTAAAGCTCTCAGCACTACTTACAATAGGGGAATGAACCGCATGCATGAGCCTAGTCGACGTGGAGCCTTAAATGTCTCGGGCTTAACAATTTTCTGCATCTGATCTCCTAAAGTGATTTGAGTTGGAACTTCATTGCTTTCTCCTTTTTTAGCACTATAGAATCTCAAATTCAATATGGCGAGGAGCATAAGCAGATGGAAGTAAATTTGCCCAGATGAAAATGCAAAACCATTATAAAAGCAGTGTCATTCTTGATATTACAGATCATTTAAACTACAATAACGTGATTGTAAACCTAAAATGAAACCATAAGAATAGCAGCAAATCAATCTAAAAGCAGAGAACTCAATAACTTGGTTTATTTTCTTGCATAGTTGCATATGCTATTCCCTTATCTGATGGGAATATTATAAAGTACGAAAGGGTGTCTAAACAGAGTGTGATAATGACCTCTGTATTCTCCAGTGAACTCTGCAGCTTAAATGCCAAGAATTTTATAACTCGAGTTACGGATGCATTTCCTTGCCCCACCACTTCATTCTTTTTATCTGTTTGTGGTTCAAGGTTAATAGCAGCGACAAGAAATTCTTTCCTTCAATTGTGTAGTAAGATTCGTAGAATTACTACAACTACTTTCTTCTGACCATTATTGTCTGTTCTGAAACAACAAATGAAGAGGACGGGTGGTGAAAATTGTAGCTTTCTTACAATTTGCGCGTCCTAGATGCTCAGTTTGCTCTACCAACACTCTTGAGATGTACAGCCATTTGAAGATATTCTACTCTTTCTCCATTCCAAATAAAGCAGAATCAATATACATGGAAGCCAAAACAACATCAACTCAAGGATCTCATCTCTTTTTCTTCAACAAATGGAGCAGCCTTTCAGGGTCTGCATCTTTTGCATAAGAACTTTCATACACAGGGTGCTTGAACCCCCTGATGATGTCAAAAAACTTTTCCAGGACTACTCACAGAATGGCATCATGTCAATGGATGATCTACTTAACTTTCTATCAAAGGTTCAAGGACAGAACAATGCGAAGGAAGATGACGCTGAGGCGATCTTTAATACTCTCAAGCATCTCAACATCTTCCCAAGAAAGGGTCTTAATCTAGAAGCCTTCTATCGATATCTTCTTGGCGATCTGAACACTCCTCTTTCTCCATGTGTAATACTCATCTCCTCTTGCACTTCCAGAATAACACCAAACATGTTTCATGCATCCATCTTTAACATCTTGATTATTTAAATCTTCCGTGTCATAGCCAATATTGATATATAACTTTTCCAATCCTCCCCCCTCCCCCCCCTCTGTTGCGTGTGTGACTCCTATGATGGTAATTGCGTGTGATGTTTCTGAATTCAGGTGCACCAGGACATGACTGCTCCACTAGCTCATTATTTCATGTACACAGGCCACAACTCTTACCTGTCTGGGAATCAATTAAGCAGTGAGAGCAGTGTTAGACCTATCAAAAAAGCTTTGCAAAATGGTGTAAGAGTAATTGAATTAGATCTATGGCCAGCCAGGAACAACGATGTGGTAGTTCGCCATGGACGGTATGGAATTAATTTTCACTTTTATCTCTAGATCTCATGTTGTGTTACTTGTGTCTACCTAAGTTATGCTCGAGGTTTGTTTTGTTTCGTAATATAAATATGTGATTTTCATTGAAAATAAGAATGTGAAAATGATTCATGCTTAATTGCATCGGCTCTAGTGAACAAAGGTACGCATAATTACCGTTATGTTTCTTTTACTTCTGAAGCTATATTTAGGTTTCGGTATTAACTGTTATTGTCAAAATTACGAATTGATTAGAGTTCTTTTATATATGCAGGACCCTGACGACATCAGTGAAACTCCTCAGATGTTTGCGTGCAATTAAGGAATTTGCTTTTGAGGTATCCGAATATCCTGTTGTGATAACGTTTGAAGACCACCTGACTGCCGACCTTCAAGATAAGGTTGCTGAGGTGAGAGTGAACTTATATCATGGGATTTTATGTTTTTTTTACTGCTGGCATGGTTTCGAGTGTGCCTCTTGTGTAACCAAAATTGGTATGCAATAGATGGTCACTAAAACATTCGGAGACATGCTGTACCGTCCTGAGACAGATGAATTAGAGAAACTATCACCAGAGTCATTGAAGAAGAAGATTTTGATTTCAACTAAGCCGCCAAGAGAGTATCTTGAAACTCAAGACAGCAACTCTCCGCACAAGTCAGAAAAATCATCAGAGGAACAAGGGGGTGATGAGAAGTTGCGTTCTTCAACAATTAACCTTTTTAGTTGCTCATCCATGTGTTTCACTAAGCAGGATCAGATTGATGAGGGAGAACAGGTTCAAGGAGAAGATGAGGAGATGACAATACCTAAATACAGGGATTTAATTGCCATTCCTTCAGGGAAGCCAAAAGGTGGATTAGAAGAATGGCTCAGAATAGATGAGAAAGACGTAAGACGTCTGAGCTTGAGTGAGCAAGAACTTGAAAAGGCTACAAGAACACATGGAAAAGACATTGTCAGGTAAATAAGATCACGTATTCAGAATAAGTTTAACCCTTCTCTTCCGCCCCTAAAAAAAATGAAGAAACTAGCTTTGTTCATCGACAAGGATTCTGTGCTTCATTGATATAAAACCCACATTGTTAAGTCGCGGACAGCATTGCAGTGCTGGGAGTCTTAACACCTTGATCTTCTGCTCATTACAGAGGCAGGGCATGCTTTTCTAAATTTGTTCTAGTGTTCCTACTGATTATAACCACCGGTATTGCTTACCTTGCAAGTCTAATGATTTCTTCCACTAGGATCACCAAGAACAATTTGTTGCGGGTATACCCCAAAGGTACACGCTTGGATTCATCTAATTACGATCCTTTCGTCGGATGGAAGCATGGAGCTCAAATGGTTGATGCAGGTTTGTTTCCTAGCTTCTTACTCGGATGGAAGCATGGAGCTCAAATGGTTGCGTTTAATATGCAGGTTTGTTTCCTAGCTTCTTAGGTTGATAGAATGAGTACTGATACTTTGTACTCTAGGGATATCTCCGACTTTGAATTCTATTTCTAATTTTCTCATGCATATCTTCTGATTCTATATTAGAATACACCTCACTTCAAAAGAAGCGAGGATGGAATTTTAGCTTTCTGTTCTATTATTCCTGTCATTGATCACTCTCTAGAGGACATAATACCGAACAAGACACTCTCAAATGAATACTTGAATAGAAAACCCTTATTTAACTTCATTTCAAAAGTTCTTTAGGTAGAAAAACTCACATGAATGGCAAAGGGGGTGATTGTTAGGTTGGTTGCCATTTCATGTAAGGCACCAACCATTTATTATTAACTATTGATAGCCACCATTATTAAATGAGCTAGAGTTGATAGCCATCAATGTTGACAACAAACCAAAAAGAGCTTCCATGGATGCCTATAAAAAAGACATGATTTTAGAGAGCAAAACGTGAAGAGTTTTATGAGAATGTGAAGAGAGTAGAGAGAAAGAGAAAGCTGCAATGGCAGCAGCCGCAGCCTTGCTGCCATTGCAGCAGCTGCAAATGCAGCAAAGAGAGCTCGGAGTACAGTAGAGAGAAGTGATCTTTCTCCTCCATGTATTTGTTTTGTATTATTTCTCTAATCTCTAATAATATAGACTCTCTCCCGTGGATGTAGGCGGTTTTGCCGAACCACGTAAATACCGTGTCAATGTGCTTGGCCCTCCTATAAGCAAATATCAGAACATCACCGGTCGGAATATCTCAACAAGATACGTATAGTTTATGACTTTCTTGTTACTGTGTTGGCTCTGAGCATTTTCTTCATCAAAAGAGATTAGGAATACTAGTCTATTCAAAAAAAATAAACAGCCTATTATTGTCGAGGTAAATCAGGTCCCATATCTAAAATGCTAGTTCTTTTAGTGATCAATAACGACAATTCTGGAGTATTCTGAGTAAATTTTTAAGAATTATTAGAAATCTGTGGTTGTTTTGCTTTAAGATATAGCATCTCTATAACATGCAGCATGCTTTAAAATTTTCGGTAGTGTATTATATGCTGGAGAGTCGTGCCACTATGATTCAATCTAGGAAACTTCTTCCAATAAAAGTACAGTGATTCTCTGGCCACGACGTTATTTAAAATACAAAAAAACACCAACAGTGTATGAGACTACACTATCATCAAACTTTGTCTTTAATCTAAATTGGATGTTTGTATTCCTGGCAGCTCCAGTTATAATGGAATAATTATGCTTGCTTTCTTCTGCTAACATTCCATTTTCAGGTTTTACTGATCAATTTCAACAGGAAGAGAATTTTGAGTTGTTTGAGCTCTATTTCAATTGACTGTTGGGACAGATGTCCGTTCTCTGTGTTATGGCCTTGTAGGTTTTCTTGACCCTTTCCTCTTTATTTCCTTGACAGGGCTATGGGAGGCCCCTTTGGATTATGCAAGGGATGTTTAGAGCTGGTGACCTTTGGATTATGCAAGGGATGTTTAGAGCCAATGGTGGCTGTGGTTATGTGAAAAAACCTGATTTTTTATTGAGGGAAAAGGATGATTTTGATCCTAGTGTGTCCTCGCCAGTTTATAAAATATTGAAGGTGTGTGGACATAAATAGTAACAGTAAATGTTTTAAATTCCACTTCTCATCTCTTTAACACCGAAGCATCTGGATCGGACTCACCTTCTAATTATCAGGTGAAAATCTACTCGGGGGAAGGGTGGCATTTGGATTTTCGCCACACACATTTTGATCCATATTCTCCACCTGACTTCTTGGTAAAAGTAAGATGATCAATGTAAATATGTGTGATAATTATTAAATGTGCCGAGTTTCAAGTCACAAGTTTTGAAAATGTTTCACTATCAGGGTTCTGTACTTGTTTGTGATCTTTGACATGCCAGCAGTTTTCCCGAATTTCTTATGATCGTCTTAACGCATGTCACTTGCATTACGCACTGGCAGAATAGATCTCCCTCTTTTGGAACATGACCATGGAAAAAATGTTGCTTCTGATAACCAGTTACTGGATTCACAGGTTGGAATTGTTGGGGTCGATGCTTGTGAAACCAGTAGAACACAGGTAGTTAAAAACAGCTGGCTACCGGAATGGAACAAGGAATTTAAATTCGAAGTGGCTGCTCCTGAATTGTCAGTGCTTGGGATCGAAGTCAGTGACGATGATAAATATGGAAGTCCTGACTTCGCAGGCCAAACATATTTGCCTATATCGGAGTTGAGAACTGGTATTCGAGCAGTTCCGTTGCATGATCGTAGAGGAGTGAGATACAAGAGTGCAAGGCTTCTTATGAGATTTGACCTAAAAGACTCCCCAGAATGTTCCGAGTGACAAAAATCACGAGATTGATCGTCTCCGTTAGCGGATTGAACCAGGGAGTCTATGTAGAGGAACTAGTGTCTGTATATATACATAATCAGGATCCAATTTATTTATTTTCATATTTTAAATATTATTGGCTCGTGTTGATCTGTTTTTACGTATTTTTAGAGTTTTAAGGGTCAAAGATTAAACACCAACAAGATATCTAGTGGTAATTACCGGTGATTTAAGAAACTTATTTAAGATTTTATCACAACATGATCTTAAGAAACTTCTTTCAAGATTTTCAACGGACCTTGTTTTACAGGGCTGGGAGCCGTTTTAAGCCTTGGCATTTGTCAGCAAGGCATTAATCGTGAAGCATCTGGGATTATCGATTCATGAGAAGGAATTCATGGCTATTTCGATGGTTGCTGAAAGGTGGAGATATTATTTGGAACACGATCAATTCCTCTTTAAGGCTGATAGTGAAAGTCTGAAAATCTCCTAAAGCAGAAGATACACGCTCCATTGCAGAGGAAAGAGGTAACTAAGTTGGTGGAAGCAGAAGATACACGCTCCATTGCAGAGGCTGATAGTGCTGCTGCACCTCACGCTGACACAAAATTGTGAGTGTCTGGAATGCCACGTCATGTATTTTCACAGCACTGCCGCCGTAGATTCTTTTCAATAGGCATACATTTTCAAGTCTACTAAGCCAAAAAAATAAATTAAAACGACGGGAGCCCCACGAAGTATAAACATGTTACAAGGAACTAAATACTATCATTAATGCAAAAGGGTCTATACTGAAGGTGAACAGGTGACTTTATGTCATCATAAAATCTGTATAAAATTTATGCCATGCCGGCGCGATGCTAGAGAATTTGTGGCATGTTTATATATTTTGGTGGATATATATATATATATATATATATGATTACAATCTAGAATTTTTTAAAGAAAAAATTATAAAACTATATTTGTAATTAAATTAATATTTAAAAATTAAATAAATAAAGAAAATTTTAGAAAAAATCATAACAAAAAAAATCAAAATGAATAAAAAAACATGCAGGAAAACACTGTAAAAATATATAGTGTTTTATGACAAAATCTATAGTTGTAATTCTCAATCAGCTCAATATTAAAAATAATAAAATTAAAAAAAATAATTTTAAAAAAAATCATAACAAAAAAATCATGTGGAGAAATATTATAGTAATCCACAGTGTTTTAAAAAAAAAAACTATGAAGATAAATTCTCAACTAGCTTAATATAAAAAAATAAAATTATCAAAGATAATTATGGAAAAATAAAAAAAAATTATAAAAAATATGTGAGGAAATATTATAACAATCCACAGTGTTTTAAAGAAAAAAGCTATAAAACTAAATTTTCAACCAGCTCCATATTAAAAAATAAAAAAATCAATAAAAATAATTATGAAAAAATAAAAAATATTAAAAAAAAGGAGGAAGAAGACAATTTTGGGAAAAAAAGGCAAAAAAAAGAAAAAAACAGAAAAAAAAAACATGTGAGTAAAGTTAAACCTGAATTCTCAATCAGCACAATATTAAAAAAATAAAAAAGATAATTTAAAAAAACATGTGGGGATAATTTAAAAAAACATGTGAAGAAACACCATAACAATTTATGATGTTTTAAAAAAAAACTACAAAGCAAAATTGACCAATATCATTTTGGAAAGAAAAAGAAAAAAGAAGAAAAGGATTCATTAAAAAAACAAGTCATTTAGGGAAGTATTATAGCAATCCATGATGTTTTCAAGAAAAAAACTACAGAACTAAATTTTCAACTAATTCAATATTAAAAAAAATCAACAAAGATAATTTAAAAGTACAAAAAAAGAATAAAAAAGACAAAAAAATATGAAGAAGACAATCTTGGGAAAAAAAAACAAAAAAAGGAAAAAAATATGGGAAAAATGTGGGAAAAAAATAAGAAAAAATAAAGGCAAAAAAAATGAACAAACAACAAAACAAAACAAAACAAATGTAGTATAATGTTTTAAATAAAAAAATACAAAACTAAATTTTCAACCAATTCAATATTAAAAAAAAAAAACAAAAAAGATAATTAAAAAAACAAAAAAGAATAAAAAGAAAAAGAAGACAATCTTGGGAAAAAAAATGTGAAGCCCAACAAAAGGGGAAAAAACAAAAAAATTAAAGGAAAAAAAAAAAACATGTGGCGTAGAGAAAGTTACAATACTTTTCTATTTTTGCTGAGTTTATATCCTATTTGTTTGCAGGAAAATAATTTTTTTGGAAAATAAATTTTGAAAAAATAAATTATTTTTTAATGTTTGATAGTATCATGAAAAATAAATTGGAAAACACTTTCTAATATTTGGTTATATTATAGAAAATGAGATGGAAAATAGCTTATTAATGTTTTTTTTTTAATTTATTAAAATAATAAGAAACAAATCTTACAAGTTAAAAGGTTGAATTATAATGAAATTGACAAAAATCTAATTTCATAAATTATATCAAATAAAATAAATAATAAAAATCAAATCTAATGGATAAAAAATTTAAAAGATAATAAAATTAAAATAATTATAATTATAATTTTATAAATTATTTTAAATAAAATAAGTAACAATCAAAAGAACAAGAATTAAATTTGATAGATAAATAAATTAAATAAAAAATGATAAAATAAATTAAATAACAATTATAAAAATAAGAACGAAAGTTAATATAAGAACTAAATTAAATCAAATTTTAAGGGATGAAATTGAAAAAAAAATCAAACAAAATATATAACAATTAAAAGGTTGAAGATCAAATTCAATAAATAATATAATATTTCTAATTTTTTCATAACTTCTAAAAAATATTTTTCATCCAAAATAAAAAAAAAATACTTTTCTAAACAATCAAACTAAATTTTTTAATAAAAAATTATTTTCACTAACCAAAACATATTTTTTATTAATTAATTTTTTTAACAACAAATAAATTCAAAATAATTTAAAAAATAACTTCCTCGAAATCACATAAACAAGGCACTTACAAGTCAAATCTTCTCCACCAACAACCTTTAATTCCCGAAAAGACCCGTTGGTTTTTGTACTTTCCAAAATACCCCACCCTCGCCATCTTTATTCTTTTACCATCTTATGTTCATCCTCATCGCGCGTGCCTTGCTGTTATTTCATCTCCTTTTCCAGATTTAACATAATTTTCTAGATCTAATATAGTTTTCATCAAATAATTTTCACAGATTTAAAATATAATCCTTGTTTTTCTGTCAAACAACCTTCACTGAAGAGTTTGTTTGTGGGATAATTTTTTCTAATTGAGATTTGTCAAGAGAAAAAAAAAATATTTATTTGTTTTCATACTTCCCAAAACACCTCTCAACACTCATCCAGGTATCCCATCCGTCCTTTTTTGCTCCTTTTCTCTTGCTTTCACCTTCATGTCCCCAGAATTGTTGGCTTGGCATCCCTCAAACTAGTTCCCAAATCTTCCGCCCACCACATGCATGTTTTCTGTGAAACCATTACTGAATTCTGATTTGGATAAATAAGTTTCTTTATTTTTAGTTGTTCTTGTATCAATATATTTTTAAATACAATGCGAATTGATATATAAATTCGTTATTTTTTTTAGTAATTTAATATGCAACAATAACTTTAATCATGGTTTTAAATACATATTTAATAATTTAATATGCAACAATAACTTTAATCACGGTTTTTAGTACTTATTTTTTAATATATTTTTAATCATAATTTTAACTAAATATATACGAAGTAAAAAATATCTTTTGAAAATCAATTTTTTTTTAAATTATAACAGTAAAACAAATACATTCTTAGAGAGAAAAGGCAGGTATTAATTATTGGATGATTTATATTCAAAACATCCTTGTATTGCCTGTCCAGTGTCCACCACCTCTTGGCATCCCATCTCAGCTTTTAGATGAAGGCAAACTTTTCCTTAAGTTCCTGCATTGAATTAATCATAACCTGGGACGTAATCTTACGCTATCGCTGCACCTGACCAGGGCCACGTCGAGAATGATAGCAGAAGGGTGGAGGAGCATATATAGGTTTTTGCTTGCTTCACATCGTACCGCGAGCTTCAACCCCCGAGGAAGCCCTTTTGACTCTTCTCCATTTGTATCAGCAACCTTGAGGTCATTTCCAATTTGAAACCCAGACTTCCTGGTTCTTAATTATGAATGAACGTCGCAGTTCCTTGTGATCCCTTGTGGATTTTGGCAAGCAAATACGTAAAAAACCTTGCAATCATTAAACCCTAGTTCTATAGGCTTTTAACTAGCAATCACGCATGACTACTTCTGGTTGGAAATTTAGTATGTATTTAAGAACAAAACTGATCGATTAGGTTTACAAGGATAAATTAAAAAACTACCCTAGGATAAATTGAACATGGCCCGAATGGTCATCGGCTACTCGCATCGGATCCCTCACCAGCTAACCTTTATCTCATTAATTAACTCTTCTATTTGAGGAATGAGGCACTAATATAGAACATTCAATTTTCTATGCCTGGCCCATACCTAGTTGACGTTGTTTGCTTGTCGGGAAAGTGAAAGAAAAAACCAAGGCGAGCTACATCTGGGCTTGTCAGGGGGGTGCAACCTCAAATCGTGGGTTTCAATCTCTCCCTCTTCCTCTTCTTTGTACCAGAAGAAATTGATGTTGTTTTTGACCGCAATAACTTGTGAATGTATTTCGCTCGTGGTGCTTGAATCTATCTAGCTCGAGCTCCATCTCCCCACCCAGGTTTTTTTTTTTCAAAAAAAAAGTAAAATACATGCAATAAGAAACCAAGAATTGGTTCATTTTGTGGCGCAAGGGACCTTAGCAGTTTTCAGTTAAAAATTAGTGGACGATCGAACATGCTCATCGAGAATCTTACAAACCCAGGATTTATCATAAGGATTGTTGTCTTCTTTGACGGTGGCGGGCTACCTCAAACCTAGGGTTGGCCAAGAGAGTTTGGATTTGAATAGTAATATCACAATTGCAGCAATTCTACTTCTTATGATTCCATTTATAAAATTATTATTCTTCCAGGGTTTTGAGATAACCTCCTTACTGCTCTTCTTTTATGCATAGCAAATGCTTGAAAGAAAAATGACAGATCACCCACAAAACACCGCCCCATTTTCCTT